GGATCAACGACCCCAGAACTACCGGCATTTTTCACGCTCTCTTTCCCTCTCGACCACCGCCCCTCCCTTATTGCCGCCGATTACCAACCCCAACCCCCTCCCCTATTCCCTTGAGTAATTTGCCTGTAAATACGACCATAATTACCTACAATTTACCATGTACCTTCTACACTTTCCCTTATAAATATAATTAGCCTTAATGAGAATTTATGAAAAGTTTACGTATGCTCGCCAGCTACTATAAGGAACTCTTTTAAATGCGGACATTTGATTTAACATTACATAATGTTCAGTCGTTATGCACAAAACGTGTGTATTTTGTCTGAAATAGTTTCAAGAAATCAAAATAACTTTTAAAACTGTGAAATAAATATTCCTTAATCATGAAATCAGCCTATTTATCAATTCCGCGTAACAAATATACAGAATCATTGTTTATATCAACAGAAAACACGTTATACTACCCCATACATTCCTTTTAATCGCCCTCCCCCCCACAGGACCATGGCATGCAAATGCAACGTCGATTAAGTTTGCAATTATACGGGCATTAAGAATGTTTCCTAAAACCTGAATTATACACCCTTAACAAATATGAACTTTAGTAGCATATATTTTGCTACCCAATGAGTTATATGATGAATATTCCTTAACGTGTGCTATAGATAATATGCTCAAATCTAGAAGAACATCGAAAATAAACGGGAAAATGTATATCACTAAAGTAGTAGCTACTATATTGTTGTGTTTATAGGCTACCGGAATGCAGCTCTTTAAAAAAACCGGTGTATTGTTATGAGCGAAATATGTAGGTAGGGGTTATGTTGCACCACAGTTAATGCCTAACCTTCCTTAAGCAAGCCTTTTAGATCAAAAACGATTTCCATATGAAACAGCACATTCAATGCAGTTAGTGATTTTTGTTAGACGTCTGTTGAACGAAAAATTGTGTTTTATTGTAATGGGGGATAATTTAGGAAAGAACCCCATCACTACTCAGCTCGGAGGATAATTTTATGAATGTAACTACCTCAGAAATGTGGTTTCTTCAACAACCATTCTCCACTTTATACATGAAGCTCGGAGTAGAGTTTGGAAATCTCCGCGTTGCTACGCGCAGAACCTGAATGCTTACAGAAACTGAAGTGCATATCCAAAGCTCAGTCAAAACTGATATTACAATGTAATGGAGACGAATGGCATTGACAGTATTTCATGCAAAATTCCGAAATTTGAGAAAGACTGTTAATCAATCGTAAACCCTTATTAAGTGTTATACTTATAACAATGCAGCATGATCTCACGTCAGTTCAGTCAGGAAAATGCGGGCTTTTTAAAGTGTTCCCTTCTGACCGCTTATGGGATGTATATTCTGTAAAAAAATGGCTTCTTCTATAGTATGCCTTGAATGCATTGTTTTCGACTGCACATATTGTATACAAAACATTCGCAAAACTATTCTTTTTTTACTCATATAGTAGAAAAAGCTGCCTTCCCCAAGCGGTATACATAAAGGAAGGGTTTGTTTTGGTTTTAAAAAACATTACTTATTAAGATATTGTTACCGAGTGTGAAGTGTTTACTAAAAACACACCAGGATCGTAAATTTATTAATGACGTCTGTAATGTAAACAGCATGATTTACATGTACTGAAAAATTGAGTAATCACAATATGACTTCTTCCTTACACTGGAGCTAACAACGCACTTTTCCTCATCTCGGATGTACACAGCACACAGCTTGAAAGCCTTGAATACAGTTTTCACAATTAGTCGCAAATTGCGAAACTTTTTAAATTCGAAATATACGCTTTTTTTAAAAGTAAAAGTTTAAGACGGTATAATTAGTTACCAATCGAGTATAAGGAAGAATAATTTTGTGAGTGTTTTATATAAAAGATATATTAGAATTTGCAAGGCAATCAAAAGCCATGAGTTGACTAGGGACTAATTTATTTGTCTCTTTTGCAAAACATAATTATTTTAAGTTGTCATAAAGGAGCTCTCTTAAATGCCGGCATTCTCTCCTGACTGAAATGACCCTAAAGTAGGTTGCACGATCATCAGGATTACAACGCCACTTCATATCGTTTCGAGAGCGATTGCAAAACTTTCGCAAATTTCAGAATTTTGCATGAAATATCGGCCGGACTCTTTACTTCCGATGGTCGCTGATCATCGAAAACAACTTTAACTGTCCTGCCAAAATGCTAAGTACGGCTCTGCCCCGTTAACTACAACGCCTTCTGAATGTTACATTTCAGCATGTAGAAAGGAACAAACACTTAACAGACAAACTGAAGTCTGTTGTTTAAAACATTCTAGTATCCTGGGCACGTATATTAATTCAAACAAACGTCACACACTTAAACCTTAGTAAGTCACTTACCTGTGGTAGACAAAAGATGAGAACGTGTTTCATATTCCTCAGCATTAGCATTCCCACAATCAACACAAATAAAGGACTTCTTCCAATATAAGCACCAAAGACTGAGAAAGCTATGGAAATGACGATAACAGTGATTGCAAACTGCCATCCATTAATGCGCCAGATCAAAAGCACGGAAACTGTGTCCAGCACAAGCATTTTCTACAACATCGTTCAGCTGAACCACATATAAAAATTTTGACATACCCCTGGAAAGTTGAAGATGTTTGCTACGAGACAAAATGCCACCAGCACGCAGGCGTACGGCCATGTCTCGAGGAATAATTCCGCGTACGGATACTCAGTGATACGAATTTTCTAGAACAAGAAAAAGCAGCAGTAGCACGTGCAATTAA